AGAGAGAGAGAGAGAGAGAGAGAGAGAGAGAGAGAGAGAGATAGATAGAGAGAGAGAGAGAGAGAAAGAAAGAAAGAAAGAAAGAAGAAAGAAAGAAAAGGGAGGGAGCAAAGGAAGGAAGGAAAAGAAAGAAAGAGGAAGAAAAGAGGAAGGGAAGGAGGAAGGGAGGAAGAAAAAGGAAGGAAGGAGGCAGGGAGGGAGGAAAGAAGAAAGGAAGAGGGAGGCATGGAGGAAAGGAGAAAAGGGGAGGAAGGAAGGAAAGAAGGCAAGAAGGAAGGAAGGAAGGAAGGAAGAAGGGAGGGAAGGAAGAACAAGGAAGAACAAGGAAGGAAGAAGGCAGGGAGGGAGGGATGAAAAAAGGAAGGTAGGAAGGAAGGAAGGAAGAAAGAAAGAAGGGAGGGAAGGAAGAAAAAAGGAAGAAAAAGGAAGGAAGAAGGGAGGGAGGGATGAAAGAAGGAAGGAAGGAAGGCATGAAGGAAGAAAGAAGGGAGGGAGGGATGAAAAAGGAAGAAAAAGGAAGGGAGGGATGAAAGAAGGAATGAAGGAAGGCAGAAAGGAAGAAGGGAGGGAAGGAAGAAAAAGGAAGAACAAGGAAGGAAGAAGGCAGGGAGGGCGGGATGAAAGAAGGAAGGTGGGAAGGAAGCAGGGAGGAAGGAAGAAAAAGGAAGGAAAGAAGGCAAGAAGGAAGGAGGGAGGGAAGGAAGAAAAAGAAAGAAAAAGGAAGGAGGCAGGGAGGGAGGAAGAAAAAGAAAGAAAGAAAGAAAGAAAGAAAGAAAGACAGACAGACAGACAGTAAGAAACACAGAAAGAGGGAGGAAGACATAAATGCATAAACAAACCCTAAATTAGCCAGGATCCAAAGCCCCATTTGTCAAGCCTTCATCTGCAGGCTTTCAATCTTTGAACCCGGGGTGACCCAGCTTCCGTTGGACTCCACCTATCTATCCAGATGGTATCCAGACTTCAGCATCCTGTTAAGCCGAGTTGCTCATCCCCTGAATCAGAATCCTTCTGATAGGGTGACAGCTTGAACCAGACCAGGATCTGATTGCACAGTGGAAGGATTGCAACATTGCCCTGAACCTTACACATCCTCTCCTACACACCCCACACAGGCACATGGGGGGGGGGGGGGGGACGGGACTGTGATGGAGTTTGTGATTAAGGCAAGCTAGAGACAAGCAGGCTGGAAGCATTGCCTTTGGTATCCGCAGGTGTGTATTTGTATAGTACTCAAAACATACCCTTCCGAAGGTGTGAAAAGGTGGGCACCATTGCCTAAGGCATGTTGGCTGTTGGATGCCCAGAAGGAGGGCCTGTTTTGGGGTGACACCCGCGCCACAAAAAATGAAAGCATCGGCCCTTCTCGGTTCGCTTTGCAAAGTTGGGTTTTGTTCCTGAGCCCGGAGCTCCAGGTGTGGGACAGAACCCATGCTCCCTGGCTGTGTGGATATTGGGTTGGATCCAGGGGTGAGTTCCTGCCAGTTCTAACCTCTTCTACAGAAGAGGTTCCACAAATCTACAGTGCCGGTTAGAACCGGTTCCAGCTCATTCCCCCCACCCGTCCTCACATCATCAAGATGAAGAGCGAGAGGAGAAATCTGGGAGTTGAAGTCCACAAGTCTTAAAGCTGTCAACTTTGAACACCCCTGGGTTTTTTTTTCTAAAGGGTTAGGGGTGCAAGGGNTGATCAATATTCAAACACTTGGCCACTGACTCGTATTTATGACGGTCGCCGTGTCCCGGGGGTCACGCCATCCCCTTTTGCAACCTTCTGATCAGCAAAGTCCATGGGGAGAGGGGGGGAGCCAGGTTCACTTAACAACCGTGTCCCCAACTCATCAACTGCGGAAATTCACTTAGCAACGGTTGGCGAGGAAAGTCACAAGACGGAGCAAAGTTCATTGTCTCACTTAACAAACATAGGCTTTAGACTCCATTGGGGTCACGAAGCGAGGGCTACCCACAAGTTACCAACCGCAGGGATTCACTTAACGACGAGAAAAGTTGTAATTAAAAAAAATGCCGCTTAACCAAACGTCTCCTGAAAAACCACCGAGATTTGGGGCTCGGTGGCGGTCATTAAGACGAGGACTGCCTATATCCCCCAAACCGGTTTGGCCCGTAGAAAGCAAGTCGCCCATTTTCTCCTCAGGAGGAACTTGCTGATTTAAGGATTTTAAAGGATATTGTTCTTTTCTTAGATCAATCAAAGATTTCAAACTGGTCGATATCGCCGTCCTTCAGAAGGGCCGAAAAGCTCTTTCAAAATCAATATCTCCCATATTATTATTATTATTATTATTTTCCTATGAAGTATCTGCGGTTTCTCTTTTTCTAAACCTGAGGGGAATAAGAGAGAAGCTACCTCAGCGGTAAACCCGAGGACCCGTATCGAATATTCGATAAAAGCTCTTGCAGAGAAAATGACTTCATATCGGATGTAATTCACGACG